CAAGCTTTAAAAAAAATTAATTAAAAAGATGTAATAAATTTTTTATGAGTATTTATAATATCTATAAAATATTAGCTTACTATTTCTATAGTAATATATACAAATATTTAGGGTAAACTATAGTTTTTTCCCCTTGATTTTGTTGAATATTCAAATGATTAATCTTTTCATTTTAAATATAGATCATTCATTTCACAATTAAATTCCCGTATTTTTCCTGTGTATTGTTTAACCGTTGCGCTTATCCCTCTCTTTCTTACTCGTTTATTTTTTAACCGGTTTCTTTTTTTGTATTTTTTATTGTTTACGCGAAATTTTAGGTCTGTCCGTCGCTCAGTTTACATGGGCGTGCGTGCCAAAAAGGGATAAAGGGGTGCCCAGGGTGATGGCGAAAGGGGCTGGCGCAAGAGGGGGGGCACGGCCAGCGCCATTATGTTTCGCCCGAGTGTGTGTGTGTGTGTGTGTGTGTTTGCTGGCCGTTTGTTGTTTCCATTTTTATATTTTATTCGCTTTATTTTTTCCGCTTCGACGCTTGGCGAGCGAATGAAATCGCGTTTGTACGCGCACACCAACACACACACTCCGCTTGGGTATCTGTGTGTGTGCGAGTGCCGGCATATGTATCTTTCAGATACGTTTTGCATTTTAATTTTATTTCCATGCTCTCGTTGCCCGAAGACCACGTTGCACATGTTTTCGTCCCTTTTTACACATATTTTTTTGTTGTTTTTATTTGCCTTTTTTCATCTTGGTTTCCTTTTTGTTGTTGCTTTTTTAGAGTATCTTGTGCAGTTGCATTGCCTGAAAATACATAATTCGCCACGGGGTAGATGCGTAAATGAGCAATTTTTATTTATATATTTATTTGGTTATAAGAGGCAAGCACATGTGCTTATGAAAGCTTGAGGGGTTGTTTAGGGTAAACAAAATATTTTAAAATTTAAATAACAATTCTGTGGTGCGTGTGGAGTAGTTTATATATTAATAATATTCTAATTTAATTAGTAGTTCATTTTTAAAAGTAATAAAATCTATAAAACTAAAGAAAAAATCCAAATAAATTAAAAAAAATCATTTTAGGAGCTTTTTTTCTTGAGTATTTTTAATTCATTCATTTTTCTTAATATATTAAATATTCTTCAAATTAATTCTATATACAAAACCCTCAATCTCCCGCTGACATAATACCCTGGGGGGCAGGAAAGAGTCCATCTCTTGAGGGGCTTCGTCATGTCATCTACGATTACGTTTTTTTTGACAGCTCCAAAGATGTGACAAATATGAATTTATATTTATAGCTCTGATGCCTGTCGGCAAATGAATACTTCCTCAAAGCCCTAAATCATAATTTACAAAATAACAAATAAATTGTATTAGCTAAGTATTATAATAAACTGTACAAAATAGCTAATAAATTACTACAAAGTTCTCCGAATAACCCATGATTAAGTTTACAAAATCTTTTCCGCTTTTCTACTTAGTCAGAACAATGTGTCTAATTTCTGAGATTTAAAATTTGAATAAGACAAACGTAATAAACGTAAAGACGCCAGTACGCCCCGAAAACCCACTTGAGTCCTAAGGACATTAAGGTTAGAGTTCAGGCTAAAAAAAAAAACGAGAACAAAAAACAAAACAAGGAAATGCAGTTGTAAAACCGGCAACCAGAAGAATCGAGAGCCATAGATACAGATGCGGATACACATGCTCGCAGGCTCGTAATCTTAATCCTTCACACAATAAACGCCCCTTGGTCGAACTGCTGCTGTATATATATACATATATATTCCACTAGGATTCTCTCTGTATACGATGGTAGCAATATCCTGATCCTGTTTGCCGGCAGCGCCCTTCACAGCTTCGCCTCGGGATTGTCGCATTATGGGTTTCCGAGCGGTCGCAGCGGTTCGTCCTTTTGTTTTAAATTAGCACGGCATGTTGCACATACGTTAGGTCCTTCTCTCTCTGTCCGCGTGTCCGTTTGTCCGCTCTGTAGAGACCCTCAATTTACCATAGAAATTTGTCAATTGCCAGACAGAGTCGTACAGCGAATTGAAATTAGGCAAATTGCATTTTGTGGCTGGTTGCCAATGCAACAATGATAATAAATTTAAGATAAATTATTTTCCAGCTACCTCTATCGAAAATGTAATGTCAACACTAATTAGCGATAAAAACCAGTGGGCTGGGGCCGCAAATAAATTAAATATTTTACCTATACAGGCCACTCAGATAGCCTCACAGTCTTGCGGTGCATTGAAAGCTATTAAAGTAAATTGCACAGGTGCCTTTGTCCCCCGTCTCTGGTACCCACATCCATATCCAATACCCATTGTTTTGTTTGCGTCTCGGAGGTAGTAGTATCTCCTCCATAGGACATGTGTATATGGCGGAGTTTTCCTCATTGTCTGTGGGTCTAATTGCGATTTAATGTCTCTCCTCACTCGAAAGTCTGTCTTCGGTTTTAGCCTGGTCCGATAACAGTAGCGTTTTATCAACGCAGAAATTAATGGAGCCAGCGTGTCCCCCGATATATATGGCTATATAGTACAGGTACAACAGGTACCAGGCTGTACACCGCCATTAGTCGATTTGGTGACTGTGTGCGGGTGTTATTTTTTTTTGTGCTGCCCCGCCATCCATTGGATGTGACTTAATGCCTTCGAAGTGGAACACCTTATCGCTTCATGGTGATTTATGCGACGCCTATTACGACTATATATTCCACGGAAGCTCTCGGCCAATATTCCAATGAAATTCCATATCTTGAATGGGCATCGTTGCGGTGCTTTGATGGATTTCTTCCTTGAAGTTGAAGTTGAAATAAGGTTGGGGTTTCTGGGAAGTAACTTGTGTAGCTAAGTTGGCTTTTAGCTTGATTGAGTTTGGTTTTTTATTAACAAAAAATAGTTTAATATTTTACTTACTTTTTTGTTCGGTATAGAATGTATTAAACCATTTAAAACCCTTTTAATAACCCCAATTTCCCCCTCTTTACCTACTTTTTAGCTCATATTTCTTAATGCTTACATTGTCAGTTTTTTAATGAATATTTTTTAAATAAATTACATGTTTGAGCTCTTCTTCTTGGAGCAACATTAAAGCGGCACAAATTCGTTGTGCATTAATTAGACATTTTATAGGTGCAAGTTGGCATGGCCTGCATGCCTTCGTTCCTTTCTGGTCTTTGGCTCTCTCAGCTCTTGGCCATTGGCGGAGCAGAGCACAAAACCACAATTGCTTGGCACTGGTGTTTGGGCCTGGTCAACACCAGACCGCAACTAAAACGCAGCTCATGGTTGTGTGGTGCTCATGTGTGTGTATGCCTGTATTTCGCACAACTTCGATAAGTTACATTAATTTGATATACACACACTCGCAAACATGGACCGAGTATAGCCGCCAAGTTGAGTTAACTAACCAACCCAGCCAGGCCAAGATGAGCCGAGTTCAGTTAAGAGTTAACTTGGCTCCAAGAGGCCTTAGCCAATGCGAGGGGAGATTAAAAGAAAAGCAAAAACGGCTGGTATTTTAAGCTCTAGAAGAGATTAGAAGGCATTTTTTAGGTTTAAAATATATTATATAAAATTAGGAATGTCTTAAAACCATTTATATTAATTATAATAACCTTATATCAAACCTTAAACACACTTTTCATTATTATAGTTTCAATTCCTTTATTAAAACTGCTTTAAATATATATTTCTAAGCTCTTTTTAAACTCAAATTGCATAAGCCCCATAATTATTTTGACCGCAACTCGTATATGCAACATTTTTGCCAACACAGCGGTGGGTTCAAAGAATTCCGGGAACTCTCTAGCTCTATGGTCGGTCGGTGGAGCATTGTCTATGCCTTGGTTTTGGTTGCATTTATGATTATGCCCAAGCGACACCACTAGCTTCAGCTCCATGGAGCTGGCTGCACCAGGCGATAAATGTTGAGCACACACACAGAGAGACATCAGATACAGTCACAGCCTCAGATACAGATACATATATGTACAGGCTACATGTGAGTCCGCCTCGAGTTTGGCCTGGCTTACTTTGTCTTGCTGCTCCTCCGCTCCTGCTCCTCTTGCCCCTCCGATGGCTGTGTTTAAATTGAAAATTCCCGATTTGCACACAGTCACAGATGCGCTTAATTTGCACCTCTCCAAATGCATAAAAACCAAGAAGCCGTGATGGAGTTGCATATACGAGAGAGTTTGCCACGAAAGGAGCTCCGTTCAGCTGTGGAGCTAAAGACCTCAGTCCAAGTCGCAGTTGGTGACTTCAACACTCTCGGCCATGCGTGGCGGACTTCTTGGCAAAGAGTCACGGCTCCAAAGCTCCAGGAGCGGACTCTGCCACCTTTCTTGTATAGTAGAGGAGCCCTAGAACCCGGCCCTGGAGTATGGAGTGTGTGTGTGTGTAGCTCTGGGGCTGATTGCCGTTTTGTGGGTCTGCCATTGTTAATTTATTAAGTGGTTACCTTTGTTGTCACCCCGCCGGAGGAAGTTGTTTTCAGTTGCTTTCAATTGAAATTGCTCGGCGTGCCTTGGTTAATGTGAGCTCTTGGCACATGCCATAAACCAGAATCGAACCTCTGACTCAGTGGAGGCCCCTTACTCCCGGCTAGATCAATGACCACTGCCCACGCCGGGCAGAAGATCGGAATAAGACGATTCCCGATTCCGATACTTCGATTTGGTCTGACTAAGCGCTGCATATTAAGCTGGCCCAGCAGGCCGCTTGTTGACATAAGCGCCGCCATTAATTCCACATCAACTTGGAGGTTTCTCGTCGGGGTTTTCTTTGTTTATACGTAATTGATGCACTGGGGAAAATATAGCCTTAATTTTTAGAAAAATTGTAGTATTTAATAAATGATTTAAGGAGTTTTGTGACTTAAATCGAAAGCAAATAAAGTAAATTAGGAGAGTAAGGTTGATTACTAAGAATTTCCTCTATTTTATTTATATTTTAAACTCTAAATTATCTTTTTCTTCCTGTGTACAGTCACATGGTGATCGAACAGACGACGAAATGAGAGACTGCGACTCTGTGGATGGAGAGCATCATCAGCTGAGCGCCAAGGCGGCTATAGCGGCCCGTCTAAGTCACACAGTTTCCGGCGGAGGAGGCAACTTTGCCAGTCCCGAGCCACAGACCGAGCTGCCCCTAAGGTGAGTGACTGCTCCTGATTAATCGCAATAGAATAACCTCTATATATACATATATATTTATATATATATATTCTGTATATTCCCAAAGCCATCATCATCAACTGCCGCCGAATCATCCGCTGAATGCCCTGGGCAGCTTCATGGGCATCGGTGGCCTACACAGCATTCCAAATCTGCAGCACAGCGATGTGCTAGAGAAGCTCAAGATGCAGGTGCGCGACATGAAGGTGGGACTGATGGTGAGTTTGAAATATTTAATTTGTAGAATGATTAATCAAAAGGCAAATAAATTAGCTCATGCAAATACTGTCAAAAGTTGTAATCACAAGTTTATAGAGCTTTGATAGAACGAGTCTTATTTAATTCTTATTTAATTTTTAAAATTATGACGAAAAAGGAACAGGATTATGCAGCAGCAGCTCATGCTGCGGCCTTTGGAGCCAACATGCTGCCCACCACCATCAACTCGGGCTTTCCGCTGCCCCACAATTCGGTGGCTGCTGCAGCGGCAGCTGCCTCCTTTGGCCATGTGACCTCGGCTCCAAGTGGTGGCAATAGCTACAATAACGGTGGCACCACCACAACAGCCAGCTCTAATAGTAATCCCAGCAGCAATGGAGGAGGAGCAGGAACAGCTGGAGGAGGAGGAGCAGCCACAGGAACCGGCGGCAGTGGCAATGCAAGCGGAGGAGGACACCCCTTCTCTTTTGCATCCCCAACAGCAGCGCCCAGTGGCAAAGAAGGTTGGTATACTCATATCCATTGATCGCATGGCGACTCCATTTGTGTTTAACTGTTGCACTCAGCCCGCCACTTTGCAGCCAATTCCGCATCGAACTCGTCGACGTCCAGCGAGGCATCCAATTCATCGCAGCAGAATAATGGATGGAGCTTTGAAGAGCAGTACAAACAAGTCAGACAGGTTAGTAGTAGTAGTAGTAGTTGTAGGTCCAGCTTTAGGTCCAGCTTCAGTCAATTGAAATCGACAATCGACAAAACTGTGTGTAAACAAGATGCAGGCAAACTATCAATTAACGACTAATAGCCGGCAAGGAAGAGTACCTCCAACCGAGCCCAACCTGGCTCATCTCTTGGCAAAAACCAGTTGCAAGATGCTCCAGTCCGGTCCAGTGGTGATCTCGTTTCGCCTTGAGGCTATGATGAGATAGTTCCGGTTTGCAATTGAGCAATTAATGTGTGGCGGCGGCCCCTTTTTCAGGGCGTTAATTTGGTGAGAAAATAGCCCGGCTATCACAGCTAAGCAGCTAAAGCATCCCTCCTGAAAAGCATGTGAGGTCCAGATGCTGACCAGGGCCAGCAATTAGGCAGAAGGCCCATGGAAGACCGACCTCTCCGAGTGCACAATATTTCGGTCATTAAGTGTGGTTGCCAAAAATGTGCCAGAGGAGAGAGTGGAGAGTTTGAGATACAGATACAGCTACACTGTGTGAACCCGGGCAGCTTTTGGTTTGAACTGACTCTTTACGGCCATAAAAACCAAATTTCGATTAACTTTAAATGCACACGGACCCGACTCCCTTTTGGCCATCCATCAAACGAAGCCCGCATTCTCTATGCACTATAAAAACTTTGACCCTCGCAGTGCAATGCAAAAGATACTTATGTATCTCGCGGGGTTGTAGTATGTATCTTGTGGTGCCTTGGTAACTGCGCTTCACGCTTAACACCTTCGCTTACACCGCGTGCGGCTTGAATGATGATGATGTGTTTGCAGAAACCGGCTACGTATCTGTATCTGTAACCCGGACTAGAGAGCCCCCTCTGTAGGTGTTGGATAAATCCGAAGTCCCAAAGCCCGAAGCCCACTCAAAATGGCCGTTGGTCTGTTTCATTAATTGTGGAAACGAGACGAAACGTTAATTATGTTAATTGAAGCGATAGTGCGGCGACTATATGAAAGCCATTTTGAAAGAGGGGGCCCACAAGACACGTTCATTCATTCGCCCGGCCTCTCAGCCATTTGCCTTTCCCAAAAAAACCAAAAAAAAATTTAAAGTTTTGGTCTGATTTCTGTTCTCAGTCTTGGCCATCAGTCAGCCAGCTAGCTAGCCAGCCAGTCAGCCATCTATCTATCCGTCCGTCCATCTATCTATCTATCTATCTATCTATCTTTCCATCCATCCATCCGCAAGCAAAGACAACAAGTAAAACAAAAATATTATTTTTGGTACATTTCGCTGCTCATTCCTCGTATTATATAGTTTCTTTCTGTCCTGCCCTGCTCTGCTCTCATTAATCAATGTCAATTATCTGTACATACTGAATAATTATGTTTAATTATAGACCCCTAAAGCATTTTCCAATAATATTCTTTAGTTTATTTTATTTCTTTGTACTTTATTCGGAATTCTGAAGGCAAAAAGACACAGAAATATGGATCGGTTTTTCAATCTTTGAAATTGTGCAATTTCCTTTCGATTTGAAGCTATTTTTTATTTTTTGGCGCGTGTTCTGCCTGTTCTGTAATTAGTTGATCCGAGAACTTAACTTAGTCATTGTTGGGTTAACGTTCTAAATGCTTTCATAAATAAAGGAGGGTTAAGTTGGGGTATACAAGTTGTTTAAAGTCAGAGATTTCTTTGTTTAGGATGAAAGGAAGTGTGTTTTATTTGTTTTTGTTCTTGGCAAGGATTTTAGATTAATGACTTATTAAATTTAAATATTAAATATAATTAAATAAAGGTTTAATGAATTTTGCTAAAGGTTTTTAGTGAATTTTAAACAGTAGTTTAGCGTGCAAAAAGGCACGTAGCACGGTGCCAAATTCCGTATGGCTTGAGTAACTGTGCCTTTCCCTGGCCTGCTTGTGGTTTCTAAAGTCCCAATAATGTAGAGTCTCTTACCTATTCATAATATAAATAAAATAAAATATATAAAATATATTCAAATATCAAAAGATTCACCCCTTTCTATAGATATTTACTTTATTCCAATATCCTTTAAGCCATCCCCAGAAAATCTTAAGAACCAACAAATGAAATTAAATATAAATCCCAACAAAAACATAAAAATCTGTTCAACACATTTCGTTTAATGAGTGTGAAATTCTTGAATAAATATGCAAGCAACCTGCAGATGCTTTTACATCTGTATCTGGTATCTTGTATCCGTATCTATAGATGCTTCTGCATGCGCCTGAGTGTGAGGAGCGGTCAAATTATATGCACTCTATAAGCAGCAGGATAACACTTGGGATCTAAAACCGTGCAACGGGATCTGTGTGCCTATAAATTTTAATGTCCAGCCAGAGACCTTTTTGCCTACATATGCTAGCTACATATATCTATATATATATATGTATCTGATAGTTATAAATTACACCGAAGCGCAGGCTGAATCTGCTGCTGGCGAAAAATGCCGCCGAGATGGTTTCCCAGAATCAAGGATTCAAATTTCATGGGCTCAGGCAGCAGCGCATCAGGCGGATTTGTACTAGGTACTAAGTCCAGGCGACAAATAAGTGAGATTATTTTTATAACCCGAACCCAAATCGGCCGCCGAAACATGTGTGTGTTTGTGTGTGTGCAGGTCAGGCAGCGGCAATGTTCGATAGTTATAAAAACGATTATGATTGGTCCCAGGGAATCCTTGTTAAGGGATAGAATTCCTGTTTTACTGTTTTATGGTTTTATTGCCGCGATTTGCCAGATAGATATACTATATATCTGCGGCGGCTGCTGTGATGCAAGGATCTCGAAGCTAGAGAATCGAGAGAAACCAGAGTAAAAGATATTGAAGACACAGGCAGGTTTGCAACCCTTGTGGGACTTCATTTTATGATTATTAATACAAAATATATACCCCAGACAAGCAGGCAGGCAGGCCTACACACACACACATACATACATATAGCATGTGTGTGTGTGTGAGTGCAGCGACTGCGACGCCGGCAGCATTTCAATTGAGAATCCCAGAGACTGAGGACTACTCCTGCCATATTTTTAGTTGATAAACGACCTTTGATGGCGTTGCATCGTCGCGTTGATCAAAACCCAAGCCAAAGTCTGCAAGTGTGCCAGATAGTTCCAATACCGATTTCTATATAGAAAAACCCCCTCCCCCTACAAGTGTTATTCGAAAAAAAAATGCTCATCTCGGAGGATCAAATACAAGAGGTACAAAATGTGAATGTGAATCAGTGAAAAAAGAAGAAAAGAACGAGAGAAACCAATCCAGTTGAATTTCAATTAATTTATTTTGTGTTCGGTGAAGCCTGGAGATATATAAACTCGCCATATCCACACACATACATGTGTATATATATACTGTATACCGATGGCTCTTGTGGGCGTCGAGCATCATAAAAAATAAACTCAGTCCAAGCTTGGGGAAGAAGCAGGAATTGAAGCTCAACTTGGAGCTTGGAGTCTCTGACTTGGTTTTAAATCATTTATGCCAGAAGGTGAGAGGGACAAAGAGCAGGAGAGCGGGAGCAGTTCATCATTCGCATTGACTTAGAATGTGCACCACGTCTCTGGGATGATGGGATAGAAGGCTGCCTGGGACCTGGCCAAGCTCCAACTCCTTTTCCTGCAGTAGGCGGAAAGTATGATGAATTCCGAATTTGATGAGTTCACTCCGATGTTGTCATTAATTCTGAACATACGAAGAGTACGAGTACACGATGGAGTATGAGTACGAACTCAAAGTTGTGACTAGGTTTTGGCTCTTGCCAGTTGGTTCCTGGTGGCAAAGGTCAAAGCATGAGCCCCAGGAAAACCTCAGATAGCAGTGAATGATAAATAATATAGCAGAGAACCGTCAGATACATATACATAGATACTTATATGTATCTTTGTATCCCTCCTTTGTATATCTCCTTCTTTTCTATCTTTATCACCTAATTATCCATTGTACAATTTACGCTTCACACTCTTTTTCCAGGCTGGGAGTGAGGGGTTGGAGTTTGGGTTTAGGGGAATGTTTTCATCTAGCAACCCCCAGCAGGGAATCCTAAAAGAGTGACAGAGACAGGGTCACAACACGCGCCCTTGAGCATCCTTTGTTGTTTTGGCAACACAAAAGACCAGAAGTGAGCCAAAAAAAAAAAAAACTCCATTTTGTGGCTAACCATTGGCCAAAAGAGTCAAGTTGTTGGCTCTTTTGTTAGATGATTTTGTTATTATTGTGTCATAATACGCTTAAAATTGTTTGTTTTCTACAGAGAAGAAAAAAAATAAGGTATTTTGGAGGGGTTTTAACAAGGTTAATGGTTTATAATAGAAGGAGTGAGTTTATTTTAAAGAAAATATACAAATTTTAGAGTCTTAAAATACAAATTTGTAAAATTTTTGAGGAGTTATTACATGAATAAATATTAATAATTAAAAGAGTTAATAAACTTCATGGAAAAATACACAAATCTTAGGGACTTGGTCGAATTTTCGATGGCTTTTGAAGAGTTTTTACTCTACTTTTAGCAAAGTATACGACTTTTAGAGGCTTTGCATTAATAAAAAAACAAATATTATTATCATATCTTATTTTATATCAAGTCTTCACACTTTTTCAAATTCAATTTAGGTTTATTTGTCTCCCAAAATATCATAAAAATATCTTAAAAATTGTTCTATATCATTTACAGCTCTATGAAATCAACGATGACCCCAAACGCAAAGAATTCCTGGACGATTTGTTTTCATTTATGCAAAAGCGCGGTAAGTTGCATCTTGCATTGAAGTTTTTCTTTTTTTGTATATTATTTTGTTTTTGAGAAAGGGAACTCTGGGGGCTATTTGCATATCCCTGGCCCAGATGGCGGATTTGCTGACTCAGTCAGCCAAGTGCTTTTCGGGCTCACTCAAATTATGTTAATTGAATAAATTTCTCGGCACTTTGACGTTTGATTTTCATAGCGTCGAGGGGAGCCATTAAAATATGCAGAAAAAAATTCTTCTTCTGTGGAAAAAAGAGGAAACCGAAAGAAGTAGAGAAATCATTTTTGGTGTCTGACTTTTTGTCATTTTGTCACTTCAAATTACTGTCCCGCACACACACACACCACAGCTGAGGGTAAGGGGTGCGGGGGTTACCATATGCATATTGGTACTTAAATTTTTAAGACGACTATAGGCTATTTTTAGACCCAAGTAGTAGTATGCTTTTCCTGCACTTTTGTCATTAATTATGAGCATTAACAAATACAAGCGGCGGATTTTTGTGGCATGCAAGCCATGCAATACTGTGATGTCATTAGTGCTGTGACTGTACTTGCTTGATGAATGACATTTCAGGCAAGTCCTTGCAAGTCCTGTGTGGCAATTTGAATATATTTTGAGTGGGTTAAGTTTTATAGTTATGAATATTACGGGTAAAGGCATTAAATTTGTTTTTATTTGTAAAGGAAAGACCTTGAAGGGGATCTAGACTCTTGAAAGTTTAAGGGAAAATAAGTCTTTTTGGAAAGAGGTTACTATATAATTTTTAAAAATTTAAAATTTAGATAACTATGTTTAGAAAATTTCAAATATTTTATCGTAAAAAAGAAAAAGGGTTATAAATATATCATAAAACATTTTGGTAAAAAATTACAATCTAAATTTAATTCTCATAATATTTAAGGATTCATTTCCCCTCAAATACATTTGAAAATTCTCTCTTTATTTATTTTATTTGTCAAAATTCCTTCTTCTTTTATTTTATTTCAAAAAATTCCCTCACTTATTTATTTATTTTATGTAATTCCGTATGAGTTACATACAAAGTATATAAAAAATCTATGCTTACTTACAAATACCAATGGCTAGAACGTCTCCGGTGCCTTGACAACTTAATGGATTTTAATCTGTCACATGCGCTCAAGTTTTGACATATGCATGCTCCGTCGACGCGGTCACTGCAAAGGGGATTGGTATGGGGGTACTACCACTGGGGAACTGAGGAACTGAGGAACTGAGAAACTGGTGATCAAGAGAACTGAGAAACAGGGGCACTGCTGGGGATGCTGCTGTCTAAAGTGTCGTCCGCCGTCTCAGAGAAGGAAGCGCCGAAAAATGCCGAAAATGCGACTCGGCCGAAAACTGTATTCCGTGTCCATATGTCTATAGCCAAATGATATTGTACAATTGTACCACTAACTAACAGAAATTATGCTGAAGCTCATCAGACCCAGAACAGTCTATATAAAATAGGAAAAATGGTACCGAGTATAAATGTGGATCGCTTGCCGTGAGATGTTTGTGCAGCAAAGAGGCGGCGCAATTCTTAATTAAAAGACGTCAATCACTTATCAACGCGGAGGCTATTTTTGGTAGATATTTCCCTGGCACACACAGGCCATAGGAAAAATCAGAGAGAGACTCGACTCCCTCTGGTGGCGTTATGATTTCAGACTCGATCAAGTTTCTTTTAATTTCCATTAAAAACGCCTGACATCTAGGAAAACAAATGCAAGCCTCCAAATAAATAAATAAATAGATGTGTGCCCCCGAAGGTAAAGCCAGTGCCCCCGAAAAGAGTTTTGCTCTGGCTGAAAGCAACTCGCACACAAAATACAAAAAAATAATGTAAAAGGCTGCCAAGAAAAATAATAATAATAATGTGGCGGGGCATGTGCGTGATGCGGGATGGGTTCATATATAGGATCTCCAATCTGAATCGAAATCGGGTATCGGAATCGGATTCCGCCCTCGGGGCCTTCGATCCTGGAGAGTTTAACGATCGATTCGAGTGACGGGCAGGCCGAGTTGATCATTAAATTGCCATTGATTATAAGTGTTGGCTCGTGCAGCGATCTTCAGACTTTAGTTTTTGCTTAGTTTTCTCTCCTTATTCCTGTTTTTTTTTTTGTCTGATACTAGCCACTCAATTTGTTTATATGCATAAAAAACAAACGTATTTTCATTCAATCAACACGTCCATCACCGGGTTTGATTGATTCCTTTCGGGCTCATAAAACACACAGCCGAAAGTCGATCGCTGGATCGCTGGATTGATGCTTAGGTCTCTGGTATATATATTTGGATCGTAAAAAAAGGAAAGGAGGGGCTGCATTATACAAATTCGTATTGCTCACGTACAGAGAGCCCAGCAATTATGCAGGTTGATTTCTTTTTTATATGTTTTCTGGGCCCTACACAAAAAGTGTAGGGTGTTTAAATGAAAAGGAGAAAAAGTTGCTAAGAGTTGTGGAGGCTAAAGGGAAAGAAAAGGAGTTAAGACATCATTTTATAGATTTTTTTAGGAGCTTAAAAAGAGGTTCTTTAATAATATCCTTTAAGTACAGCCTGTACTTTATCTTACTTAAATTATTCAGCTTTTATTTATATATTTCCCTAGCATTCTTAAATATAAATCCCCAATTATTATACTTAGCTTTAATTTGTAATTAAAAATCCATAGATTTTCATTTAATTTCCCCATTTTTTTCGGTGTGCAATAAAAAGAGATAAGCCAGAGGATTGAATAACACCAATTTTGAATAGCAAATAGAGGCGAATGCCAATGTATATGATGATGATTAGCCGCCATAAACAGATCAACATATGTACAAACACGCGTCTATATCTACCTCACTCTTTGTATGTGTAATGTGTATTGGGCAGCAATTAGGATTTATTTCAGTTTTTATCGGCTTCGGTCTGCACTTTTCAGCTGCTACCGGGGTCTACAAGTGTTAATTGCTTCGTGATCGATGAGTGGGTGAGGATGCTGCTGCTGCTGCTGCACTCGATGGTAGAGATAAATCTGTTTTATGGATCTTTAAATCGTTTCGTGTTTTGCTTGTTGCTTGAATTTAACGAGCCAAGTGCAAGACGAACAAGTTGCATTGTACATTTGCCCGATTTTTACAGATTTTTCATTTACTAATTTCAATTTTCTCGATTTTTTTTTATTGCCTTTTTTTAGGTACCCCGATCAATCGGCTGCCGATCATGGCCAAATCGGTGCTGGATCTGTATGAACTGTACAATCTAGTGATAGCCCGCGGTGGTCTGGTGGATGTTATCAACAAGAAACTGTGGCAGGAGATCATCAAGGGACTGCATCTGCCTTCGAGCATCACCAGTGCCGCCTTCACCCTGCGCACCCAGTAAGTGTTTCTCACTCCTCCGAGTCCCAGTCCCGGGGTCCCTTCCTGGTTATACCTGCCTTGTCCAAGACAAACACAAATACCATCAGAGTTGCTGAGATGCCGGGCAAACAATCAAACATTGCAGCGATCAAGCAACAATCGATCAGCGATCCCGACTCTCTCTCTCTCTTGGGGTCTCTCTTGGTGGGATTGTGATTTGTTTGCCTGTCGCTTTCGTATTTACACGATAATTCAACTTAAGCAGGACATCAACGTGAAGTCTGCCTGCTTTCCTGATGTTTGCCGCGCTTATTAATAATTTTATGCATCTTGCAGATACATGAAGTATCTCTACCCGTACGAGTGCGAGAAGAAGAATCTGAGCACGCCGGCAGAGCTGCAGGCGGCCATCGATGGCAATCGGCGGGAAGGACGTCGCTCCAGCTACGGCCAGTACGAGGCCATGCACAATCAGATGCCGCTGGTGAGTCTTATCTTTATACTCTCTTAATTTCCTTTTTAAATTCTTTAATTTCCCCTCCAAACAGACGCCCATTTCGCGACCCTCGCTTCCGGGTGGCATGCAGCAAATGTCGCCCCTGGCCCTGGTTACCCATGCCGCGGTGGCCAACAATCAGCAGGCTCAGGCTGCTGCTGCCGCCGCCGCTGCTCATCACCGATTGATGGGTGCCCCGGCCTTTGGCCAAATGCCCAACCTGGTCAAGCAGGAGATCGAAAGCCGTATGATGGAATATTTGCAGTTGATTCAGGCCAAGAAGGAGCAGGCCATGCCGCCGGGCCTGGGTGCTAGCCTGCCCCATCAGCAGCACCAGCAGCAGCAGGCACAGCACCAGCAACAGCAGCAACAATCGCAGCAGCAGTCGCAGCAACAGCAGCAGCAACATCACCTGCAGCAGCAACAGCAGCAGCAGCGTCAGCGCTCACAGAGCCCGGATCTGAGCAAGCATGAGGCGCTTAGCGCCCAGGTGGCCCTGTGGCACATGTATCACAACAACAACAGTCCGCCGGGATCCGCACACACCTCCCCGCAGCAACGGTAAGATATTAATTAAATGGGGAATTTAATTTAAGATTATGCAATTTTTTAAACACACAAAAAAGCGGTAAAACTAGTTATGTGTAAATACAGGATATGCTATTGATGTTGCGCTCAATTTAAAAACATTTTTAAATTTTTATTTATTTTTTATTATTTAAATTAATGATACATTGGCGCCATCTAGTTAAGAAAACATCAAACCAGCGCCATCTAGCTTACACATGTTTCCCAGAAAGCGCCCTCTTGTTCCAGACTCTAGCAAACAATTAAGTTCAGACCTAAACCATTTCTCCTTTCTCCACTCTCCACTACAGCGAAGCTTTGAACCTCTCCGACTCACCGCCGAATCTCACGAATATCAAAAGGGAACGCGAACGGGAGCCGACGCCCGAGCCCGTGGAGCAGGACGACCTATCCGCTGGCCATCAACCACCGCCGGCCAAGCGCCTGGGCAGCGGCCTCCTGCCACCCGGCTTCCCTGCCAACTTCTACCTGAATCCCCACAACATGGCCGCAGTGGCGGCGGCAGCGGGCTTCCACCATCAACAGGCAGCAGCGGCGGCGGCCGGTCATCATCACCAGCAGCAACAGGATGCCGCCTCCGAGGGTGAGCCGGAGGACGAGTATGGCCATGGAGAGCACAATACCACCGGCAACTCGTCCTCGCTACACGACGACAGCGAGACAGCTCAGCCCATGAATGGTCATGGACACCACCATCATCATCATCATCACCAGAGCCATCAGCTGGATAAATCAGATGATTCGGCCATTGAGAACTCGCCCAGCACTTCCACCACCACTGCCTCGGTGGGTCATCGTCACAGCTCGCCAGTGTCCACCAAGAAGAAGAGCGGCTGTGGGTCAAAGCCACAGGATAAGGATCTAGCTGGGGATAGCAAAAGCTCTAACAGCAAGCTGAATCCTTTGGAAACGTTGAGCCTGCTCTCCGGCATGCAGTTCCAGGTGGCCAGAAATGGTGAGTTCGTAAGCTGGAAAGGATTAACCAAACCAATACTAATCCTTAAATCCCTTTACAGGCACCAGTGAGAATGGAGAACAGCAGCTAATGGTCAATCTAGAGCTGAATGGCGTCAAGTACTCGGGTGTTCTGGTGGCCAATGTGGCTCACTCCAACCAGAGCATGACTAGGAACAGCTCGCCCTGCCACGAGGCTGCAGAACCCCTAAACCAGGAGGAGGAAGAGGAGCACGACGAAGAGGAAGAAGAGGAGCTGCGGAAAGTCGCTGAAGAGGAGGACGAAGCTCATCGATCGCCCATTAAGCAGGAGGCAGACAATGAACATGGCGATGACCAGGATATGGAGTCAACAGCGGCGGCTATAATAAATGGAGGCGGAGGAGGAGGAGGAGGCAATGGCTCGGCTGTGGGTGGACCAGTGGCCATGCCCCTGGTCAGCTAGAGAGGCGATTGAAGAGGATACAAGGAGCACCGGCAAGGAGCAAGAGGAATACCAAAGTTATATTTTTCAGAAAAATACAAAAGAAGTTCAACTCAAACACACAGCAAGCACACACAGATGCCGAACCATAAATGTACATACACACACGCAGGCTAAACAGGATGCGGAGGATGTGAAGGCTGAAGAGGATGTGAAGGATGCTTCGCCAGGCCCGGACAAGAGGACAAGGAAAGCGCATTAGGCCGAAAACCAGACATCCATCGATGCAAGACTTGAATGCCTGCCGCCGCCGTCGCCGCCAGCAGAAGATCATACAGATATATACACATATATATAGTAAGGATATATATATATATATGGGATATATGGGATGCACGTGTGTGCTCCATTTCCACATTTACATAAAAGACAAGCCAGCGAGCGTGTATTTATCGATAGCCATTACCTACATAAGCGAGTGCATCACGATACACGTACTATATATATGATATATGATATATTATATAGTATATTATATGATATATATAAATATATATGAATTATATTAAACTAGGTTAGACTTAACCCCGAAAATCCTCTGTTTGTTTTTAGAATGAAATCTGTTTTTTTGTCGTCGCAGAAGCTATCCTTAATTTTCTCGTTTTAAACCCAAAACCCCCCTTCTGTACATATCAATCAATATTTAGCATATACTAATATATACTATATATATATAAATAATCTGAAATGTAATCATAAGAGCACACATTCACACATCACCGCGCACGCATATATAAACATTATGACCACATTGTAGACCTATTTTAGACGTAGAGCAACCGCAGAAACACAAGTAATAAGCATAAATGTATCTGTCATAAAATTAAATTGCGCTTTTGGTACACACACATACACACATACAATTTCTACAACTACTCCAAAGCCAAGCGAAAAGTAGCAACAACAACAAGCACTTTGATGAGCATCATATTCTAAGCATAAGCGTTCAATTTATTGAATAATAAATCTATTTAATTTTAGTTCAATACACAATAACTGCTGGTGACTAATTAACGCCCAACTCGTATATATATTCCAGTGGTGAGGGGGGGGAACAGGATGAAGTACTTTCGTCCTGGCAAACAACATAAAAAGCACTCAAACTCTGCAATGTTTTTGGTTGCTCTTCCCTCTGTTCTTGTTTGTGTGAGCGTTATAAAAAAAAAAAAAAAAAAGAAAAACATATTTGTTTTTGTTGCCACCGATTTTCGACAAGGCGAAAAAGTCATAAACACACACACACAAACACACACAAAGGAGGACCCTTAGATTATTATCAACGCCATTGGATTCATTGCGACCCGCAAAATGCACACCAAACAAAGTGATGAAAAGCAAATGTTGTCGGCAAGCAATGGATGCGTGAAATTGTTCGCACCACCCAGTGGGCCGGGCTGGGGCTCAGGTTGCTCCACTCCTTGCCACCACCCATTCGGGAGCTGCCTCCTGCTCAGGTGAGGTCGAGTGCTAACTACATTAATGCATAATGTGGTGGTCGAGCGGGGGCATCCAGCTTCCAGCTTCCGTGGCGCTGGACCCATCAGCCTAATGACTTGCGTACATTGGACGCAGCCTGGCCAAAAGGACCTTGATAAGTGGCAAGTGCGTTTAGGGCCTTGGCCATAAACCGCTAAAGCTAAGAGCCAGCCAGGCAACAAGGTGGCTCAAATTGTGACTCAAAGAGTAGACTAGGCCAAAGGAGGTGTTTTACCTGTCTTTTAAATCGAAGATTGGTTCTTCAAAAGGTAAATTGATATTAACAAATTATAATGATTTATTATGGTGAATTTTGATTAATAAATCCATTTTATAAAGTATTTTTAAAGCCATTAATAATCTTAACTAAGCCCAGATGTCTATTACTTCAGCCAAAACAAGAAAGGAAGCTATCTTCGGCACGCCGAAGTTTGTATACCCTTGCAGATTGGTTTCGATGTTTATATTATAGATTTAAATGCTGAAAACACTCACAAAACTGAGTTTCATTAAATTTTACCTATACTTATTATGTTTACAGTTTTACAGTTTCAATTTTACATTCCCAGCTTGACATATTCTATACATTTACCGATCGCTTCTATGGCAGCTATATGATATAGTTGTCCGATTTTTATAAAATTTATACCAAAATTCTAGAATAATAAAAAAGCTTATATCTGAGAGTAGATAAACATACGTTGAAAAACAACGAAGCTATAATTTTTATACCCTTGCAGGGTATTTTATTTCCAGTCCGAAGCTCATTACGCATTGAAGGAGTCATTTCCGACCCCATAAACCATATATATTCTTGATCAGCATTAGCAGGCGCATCTTTCTGGCTAAGTCCGGAGGAAAAAAATTTTTAATCAATTTTCTCAAAATTTTATAAGGGGTTACATCATTAAAATTCTCAAAATTTGATAAAATTTTCAATTTCTAACTAAGTATGCAGATTTGTTAACCTTATAAAAACTAACATAACACCGCTTTCCGAATGCAAATTAAGGCATTTTTGACAGAGTTATGCCTTTTTTAGTTTTTAATTTGCTATTTTTCTCTGTTCAATTACAGACTTCCCATCGTCATTGCTATCGCCATCGCTCTTAGTCATCAGTATCAGTAGACCTGACACCCACCCTGGACAAGAACCAAGGGAAAGGACCAACGACACACGCTAAAGGATGGTGGATAAGGGATGGGAATGGAGGAATAGGGATCAGGAATCAGGGATAAGGAGAGAGCACCGCCAGAAGCCAAAAGTCAAAGTATCATGGCAGTTTCGATCCGGAATGTTAATCTGTCATAAATAGGACTTCCAGTCAGCAACAACAGCAACGAACACAACAAGCAACATTTTAATTTTAAAATACTTTATTTTATTCTATGTTAATGAACCTAAATAAAAACAATGAAATACATTATTTTATATTATTTTGTTTTATTTTATTTTTCCTATATAAGAACAATGAAATGAGCATCACTGGTAGTAAGTGAGATGGCATTTTAATGCAAAATAGCTAAATTAGCATCACTGGCAGTTATTGAAATGCCATTTTCTCCCAATAATGCAAAATAGCTAGATGCGCATCACTGCCGTTAAGCCTGATTTTATAGCCTCCCAATATGGCAAAATAGCTAGATGAGCATCACTGCCATATAGCCCGATTTTATTGCCCCCCAATATTGCAAAATATAGCCAGATGAGCATCACTGATGCACATGAGCATCACTGATGCAAGTGAGCAAAATTTCAAAAATTTGGCCGCTTTCCAAACTGGGGTAACAGGCAAACAGAAACCAGCAGCAAGCAACTGAAAACTGGTATAAACTGTTATAAAAAGTCCAAGTTTCGAACCATTGATCTTGGAGTAAGCGAAGACTCAAACCAGATGTGACCATATTGTAAATTGTTTGGCTAAAATGTTGCTTAAATGCACCTGGGCACACTGAAACTGTCTTTGCATCAGAGATGCTCATCTATCTATTTTGTCCCAATAAAGAAATATAGCTAGATGAGCATCACTGCCATTAAGCCTGATATATTGCCTCCCAATATTGCAAATTAGCTACATGAGCATCACTGATGCAAAGTCTGATTTTATAGCCTCCCAATATTGCAATATAGCCAGATGAGCATCACTGCCATTAAGCCCGATTTTATAGCCTCCCAATATTGCAATATAGCTAGATGAGCATCACTGATGGAGATAAGCATCACTGATGCAAAGTCAGTTTCAGTGTGCCCAGGTGCATTTAAGCAACATTTTAGCCAAAAAATTTACAATATGGTCACATCTGGTTTGAGTCTTCGCTTACTCCAAGATCAATGTTACTTTTTATAACAGTTTATACCACTTTTCAGTTGCTTGCTGCTGGTTTCTGTTCGCCTGTTACCCCAATTTGGGAAACGGGCAATTTGCATGGAAAATTTCAGAAATTTGTATGGGCTGTTGCAGGGATGTTGTTGTAAAGGGGTTGTTGTTGCCAGAAAGCTGTTGTTGTCGTCAACAAATAGGTATAAATGCATAAAATGAAATATAACAGTTTATACCAATTATTATTTTATCCCAAAAGTTTTTATAACAGTTTATACTAGTTTTCAGTTGCTTGCTGCTGATTTCTGTTCGCCTGTTACCCCAGTTTGGAAAGCGGCCAATTGGATGGAAATTTTTGCTCACTTGCATCAGTGATGCTCATTAGCATCAGTGATGCTCATCTGGCTATATTTCAATATTCGGGGCAATAAAATCGGGTAGTAATGCTCATGTGCATCAGTGATGCTCATCTAGCTATTTTTTGAATTATTTGTAGAAAATGCGATGAGCATCACTGGCAGTTAGTGAGATGCCTATAATTTATAATTTCTATGCTTAACAAAACTGCATACTCAGTTTTGCTAAAATACTTACCTATAAAAATGTGAAAAACACAACTCGGCCAAAAATGCATGAAATTCAAAACCTAGTATGCAGTTTTGTTAAGCTTAGAAAGGGCAACGCAGAACAGCTTTCCAAATTGAATTTCATGCGTTTTTGGCCGAGTTATGAGGGTTTTTGTAATTTTTTGTTTACATTTTTTATAAATTAAAGCATACTTTTGGGGATTTCTATTAAAATCGTGGCATCTTTTAGGCGGAAGTTGAGATTACAGTTTGACCAGTGCTTGTCAAACTGTAAAAGTGGAGTTGCATTCATCCCCGCCCAAAAGTATGTCTTACTTTATATTTTAATCAAAGATTTAAAAATTCAGCGCAAAAGATGCCACAAAAAATAATATTTAAAAGTGCCTAAAAGTATGCAATTTTTTTACTTGTTGATTTAAATCAGAAAAATAAAAGAAATACGTGAACCTGCATTCATCCCCGCCCAAAAGTATACCTTACTTTATATTTTTATCAAAGACTTCAAAATTCAGCCCAAAAGGTGCCGCAAAAATTACCAAATAATATTTAAAAATGCCTAAAAGTATGCAATTTTTTTACTTTTTGATTTGAACCAGGAAAATAAAAGAAAAATTAGAAACGCCTTTTAAAGCGGCAATAAAACTAAGAAAATAATTAAAATACACTTCTGAGGGTTTTTTATAAATGATAGGCATCATACTAACTGCCAGTGATGCTCATTTCATTGTTCTTATATAGGAAAAATAAAATAAAACAAAATAATATAAAATAATGTATTTCATTGTTTTTATTTAGGTTCATTAACATAGAATAAAATAAAGTATTTTAAAATTAAAATGTTGCTTGTTGTGTTCGTTGCTGTTGTTGTAAAAGTAGCCGGCAGACCTGACTGGCGGTGCTCTCTCCTTATCCCTGATTCCTGATCCCTGTTTTTCCATTCCCATCCCTTATCCACCATCCTTTTGCATGTGTCGTTGGTCCTTTTCCCTGGGTTTTTGGCCGGGGTGGGTGGTACTGATGAGCGATGGCAATGGTGATGGAAAGTCTGTAATTGAAATGAGAAAAACTGCAAATTAAAAACTAAAAAAGGCATAACTCTGTCAAAAATGCCTTAATTTGCATTCGGAAAGCGGTGTTATGTTAGTTTTTATAAGGTTAACAAATCTGCATACTTAGTTAGAAATTGAAAATTTTATCAAATTTTGAGAATTTTAATGATGTAACCCCTTATAAAATTTTGAGAAAATTGATTAAAAATTGTTTTCCTCCGGACTTAGCCAGAAAGATGCGCCTGCTAATGCTGATCAAGAATATATATGGTTTATGGGGTCGGAAATGACTCCTTCAATGCGTAATGAGCTTCGGACTGGAAATTAAATACCCTGCCAGGGTTTAAAAATTATAGCTTCGTTGTTTTTCAACGTATGTTTATCTACTCTCAGATATAAGCTTTTTTTTATTATTCTAGAATTTTGGTATAAATTTTATAAAAATCGGACAACTATATCATATAGCTGCCATAGAAGCGATCGGTAAATGTATAGAATATGTCAAGCTGGGAATGTAAAATTGAAACTGTAAAACTGTAAACATAATAAGTATAGGTAAAATT